AGGGATAACAAAATTTTGAAGTTCAGTAAATGGATATTAATTTTGACATAGCCTACATCCAATATTAGCCAATACATAATATCAAGAGATGTGGATGAATAAATAAAAAAAAACAGTTAATAATGATATAGTATCAAAATATCATGAAAATATTATCTATTCAGATTCACTAATTTCCATCGCCCTAATGAACTGAGAATAGCCAATTATAAGATATAATTTGCATATAAAATGGAGGAAAAAATGTGGGGGAAAATTGTGATTTGTAAATTAGTCAGTCAATGTGCAGTGTGACAAACTCTGAAATAATATAGTTTTTGATGTTAAACAAGCAGCAAGTGTTTGCAACCACTGATAGAATCAAAGGACTCGAGACAACAGCGAAAATCCTGAAGACTTTGAGATCAGTGATTAAACTGACAGAGACCTCCTACACACCTTAGCGGAGACGGAGTCCTGTAGAAACAGGAGAGACCGAGCTTATCTTCCCATCAGTGACTCTCAAGAGTGTCAAGAACCATCATCACACAAGGAAGCACTGTTGCAGAGAGCTATTATTGCTGCTTTAAAGCACTAATTCACACAAAAATTACAATTATGTCCCTATAACTCACTACTTTTGGATGAACTACCCCTCCATAAATTTCATTCTGTTCCATGCACGACATTATTATGGTTTGAACACATGGAATAAGTCATATTGGCCACTTTTATGGTTCTTTTATGAAAATTACAGTCTAGTCACTAGAGCAACACGATTCTGGATAATTGAGAATCACAATTTATTGGTTTTAAACAAAGATGGTTAAATGGTTTGATTGAATGATTCAATGACTCACTCATAGTCTTCACCTGTCTCATTAATGGATGCATCAGCATTTTTGAATGAATGAATCTCTTAAATGAATGATTCAATGACAAAAGTCACTGTCACTTGCACACCACATACAATCTTTACTTGAAGTGTCAAGTAACTTTACCTTAAAAGGTGATTTCGGTTTGTCTCGCTACTGTAGACAACAGTGTTTATATCCAAACTAAACTTTTAGTTTTATTGCAGTACATCTGTGATAACTTGAATTAATGTAAAGCAAAAATAATGATACTGTGTGTTTGAAAGACTGTCTGTGAAGCTGTTTCATTCCTATTGCCTACATGACAACTGCCCTCAGAGGCAACCAAGATTTGAATGTTTGATGTATTCATACTTGTCAAAGGTTTAATAGACAGAGACAAATCAATGTCATTTAAGAATAAGATCGCGTAGGTGTTTGAATCGAGATTGCGATATTTTAACAATTATTCGTGCTGCTCTACTAGTCACAATCCTTTAAAAAGCTTTAACAGGATTCAGTAGAAAAAAGCAGCCATGATCAGTGAAGCAGATTATTCCTGAATAAAGGTTATAATTCTTTGTCCCTACAACACTGTACCAGAGCCACTCGAAGTTACTGAGCTTTCATGCACAACGTGAATAACTAACCTTTCACATTAATAAGCCCAGACCAATTCCACACAACAGTAAGCAGCTGAACCTGAGGTCTTTTACACTGTCGAATCACACAGTCACTTTGATTCCTGTGTTCAGCACTGCTGCATCACACATGAGTGAGGACTGGACTTCTGAAATGAGGGAGCAAAGTCCTTTCAGGGTTTTTTTAGTCTAATAAATTCATTTTCCACCCGATGTCCACACAGTTTCTGGTTAAACATGATCAACAAACATCCAATTCGAAAACAATTGTATGTATACATTAGCATACTATTTATAATCAGAGTAAAAACCATTAAGTTTATGCATTTTTTTAATTTTTTTCAGAAAATAATAACTACAGAAATACAACAAAAAATTGGATTTTTTGTCATTTTGATCCGTTACTACGTTATATACATGATAAAATAAAAAAGCTACATGTTTGCTGTGCTTGTTTGTAGACCAATTATTTTGTGATATCAAAATGATTATATAATTATTGTATTTAATAATTACTATTTATTACTATTTATTTATTCAATTTTACAGTAAAACATTACAATAACAATTTATTATTTTTTTATTTAATAATGATATTATTATTCAATAAAAATAAGAAATATAGCTATCATAAAATAGTATTAAAAAACAAATGATAATAATAACAATAGAAAACTATAAAATTACAATACTAATATTTATACCTGAATTAATGTTTTAATTTTGAAATGTTAATTCATTAAGCTTTAACTCTGGTGGAAAACTGTGACAAGCCCAATTTTCTTATTTGTCGCCAATGGCAGGTTTATTATAAGCACGTTTGGAAAAACGTTGTAAAAGCATGTTTGGAGAGATGGTTGTATGCAATGCAGTCCCACAATGCATAAGTGACCCAAACTTAGAGCACATACAGAGATGAGTTCATGTGTAACAGCATTTACTACGAACAGAACCGTTCCAAGACACTGAAAACCGCGCTACACTCGAAAACATGCAGAATATGTAGCCTATATATTTAAAGTCTTTTCTTCCCTATTGTGACGTACAAGTGAAAAGGCTTCTCAAACAAGAAGAAAAGTAGGGCGGACTTGATTTTGTCCATCAGGAGTTGTCTGGATCGTTTGATCATTGTGGTTTGATCTCATGTGAGTTTTGATGTCATGATGACTTTAATTAAATCACAGCCTTGGAGATTTCATAATCGCAAAGCCATAGCGAGATTTTGGATCCATTACAATTAATCTTCACTATAAGCAATTAGTACGTTCAACTATATTTGAACTCATAATATTTGTTTTTATTTAAACTGTAAATTATTTTCTCATATACATTTTATAAGGAGGCACTGCCTCTCTTACCTCCTCTGAGAAAACACCAAATACACAAATACAGCACAAATTGCTGACAAGGAGAAAGAAAACTGGGCCAGAACAGAAACAAACACAGACAGAAGCTAACAGCCTGTCACAAATCATTACGTACCGACAGAACGGCAATCAGAGGGGGTCACACAAACACCCCTCATGTACAAAGCAGGACCACATCCACAGTGAACTGATGACATCATTCAGACGCAAGGTACTTTCATCTGTATGCAATGCAAAGCAAAAGAGGCTCCAACACACACACTCATATACAAAGCATATTAGGAGAATTCCTCATAGTCACATACAAGATGCACCAGGGAACCATCATAGACCTCTATGACAGGGCTGCCGCAGCACACAATTCTCTCTCTCACACACACACACAGCACAGATCGTATATTTCACGCCTGAGCCATAGGCAAGGATGATTGTGAATTCATAATGCTTTCAGAAAGGGGCAGTCATTCTCTGTACGAGGCACTGACTCAGCAGTTCAGCCCCGTCTGGCCTTCAGGGCAGTAAATGTGCACATTAACACTGGATTACTGTGCAGTTACCAATGAGGCATACGACCCCACTGAGGGAGGACATTTTCCACCATAAAATTTTACCTTAAAGACACTAAAACTGAATCTATTACCCTTTTTCAAGACCTTAAAAGAATAGTTCACCGAAAAAAATTTAATTATCATTGAAATGTACTCCAATTTACACGCCCTCATGTCATTTCAATGGGTCTCATTTAATATGAGAGTAAATATGAGAGTGATTTGTGTGTAAAGAGACATTCCCGAAAACTCTTCTCCTGATTCACAAATACTTCGTAAAACATCAGATGTGATAGTGAAATGTGTGTGTGTGTTAATGAATTCCAGTCAGTCAGTCGTACATGGGATGCGCGTGCACGTTCATTCGCAATTACCATAAATCCCGCCCATTATATCCGACTGACATCTATAGACCCCTTTACAGTTGGTAAACATGGTGACGTTTTTTTGTGGGCGGAGCTTAGGTGGAGGCAGAACGATCCCTCTGGCCGCTTCACTAACGCTAGTTAGCAAGGATTGTTAGCTTGTTTTTTAACAATGACTGGAGAAAATCTGATATTATCTTAATGTGTAAGGTCACTCAGTGTCCAGGACCGCGATTGTTATTTCCAAAAGTTATTTTTAATGGACAGAACCAGATTGGCCGACCTGTAGCCGCCTACAGGCTCACTCAATGCATGGATGATTTGACAGGATTAACGTACGTTACCTCGGTTGAGTGGCCTGACTTCTACACCTACCTTATAGAGAAACCGATTGTAAAGAGAAACTGAGGGCATATAAATCTTTAGATGCCTATATGGTCCTGTACAAGACTTGTGTGTACGATCTGCCGAGCCAGCGCCGAGACCACGACAATGTAAAGAGTGACATTACAGTGCGATTTGAATGATGTGAATATTTTCTAGAAATAAAAGTTCCAGATACAGTATATTTATTTTTCATCAATTCTTGCACCAAACAACACAACAAGATGACATTTAATAACAGTAACAATTATTTAAGCTCCTTGTTATGTAGTGGCTGGGAGCAGGCCAACTAACATTTGGAAAATACGAACATTTAATGAATCCGAAAATTTACGGCAGAACCACTTTACACACGATTTACTCCAAAAATCATTCTTGCATAAACATCTCTGTACATTTGACTACTCATTGCCAAATCGCTATTTGTTATTATTTATCTTTTCATTGTTTTTGTATATTTATCTTATTTTACCATTTTTCAATTTATATTGAATACCCAATCTAAGTAATAGTAATAAGTTGTATCCTGTATATAACTGTATATATATATATATATGCTATATTTTGTGTACTCTGAAGCCATTAAGTTTTGTGTGATAAAAAAAGCAAACACTTTAAGTTCACTGAGCATCTTGACATCAGCTTTTGCTTTGTGGCCTGTTTCTGACAGTAGTAGCAATTTCCGATTCACGGATGCATTATTCTTATAAGTGAGATGTTTTCAATGAATCTTGAACAGACTTGAAAGAGATCATTTTCTTGTATTGAGTGACTGTAACAGACAGAATGACCTCTTTTAACCTGATCAGCACTGAAGAGCACATGAAAAAGCCTGAAAGTGCCTGGATGACTTTTGACTTACTGTCCTCTCCTGGGCACGGCATACCAGGTTTTTCAGGGATGCTTGGGAATACTAGACAGAAAAAGAAAGACAGAGAGAAATGAGTGTGACTCAGTCCAGTGGTTTTATCTATTTACAGATGTGGGGTCAGCAAATGTGAAATGTGCAAATACGCAATTTTCTAAAGAAAATGAACTTTTATTTAGTGCTTTTACTGTACAGTGTACACATGATATTTTGAGTGGTTGGTGGATGTGTGGTTTGAGTCTGCATTAAGCGTTTTATAAATAGATTAATACAGAAAGAGTAATTCTATTACTGGTGTAATTGAAAATTGAAAATACAAGGGGAAAATAGATTCATTTTGTATTTTAAGTGAATCAATGAGTACCATGCAAAAGGAGTCCTGAGCACCGGTTCCGGTTGTAGATCCGGAATGCTTCCTCTAGCTCCATCTGGGATGAGATGGTACACGGGTCCCCTTTAAAACAAGAAATGACAATGCAAACAGTATAAAATATCATGGGGCAATATTTATAGTTGATATTTAGCCCAGGGATTTTCAACTCAGGGTTTAGGGAAGGGTTGTTTTAGTATTATTTATATACTATATTATTTATTAATTTTAGTTTAAATTTCATCTTAAGTTTTAGTAAAAAACAAAAAAAGTAAAAAAAAAAAAACATTTTTATTAGCTTATTTATTTATTTATTTATTATTTCTAATTTATTTTGATTTAATTTTTTAGTAATTTTAGTACCTCTTAAACTTATTTTATTTCAGTTAATTGCCAAGGCAACATTTATATGCTTTATGTAAGTTTTTTGTTGTTGTTGTTGTTGTTGTTGTTGTTGTTTTTCATCTAATATTTTAATTTTATTTATTTGAATTAAAAAAAAGAATTGTATAGTTTTAGTTAACAAGATTGGGCTGAGGACAGATTCAGATTCAGAGGAAAACTGTAAAACTGTCAAATATAAATCATATTTATATTTATTAAATGTAATATCATTCCTTATATATTTTTTAAATGTAAAATAATATCAATATAAATGGGCAATCATCATATTTAGTTGCCCTTGACATCAAAACGTACATATTATTATATACAGTACTATATATAATTATAAGCACAACCACTGGGCTTAAAGTCAATATGAAATCAATATTGATCCCAGATTTTTCTTAATGCATGTTCCTGGTCTTATTGTGAAAGATTCATTGGTGTGGTTGTATTTAAAAATATATTTTTTGTCTAATTAATAATACTTTAGTCTAATAAATGTTTGTCAGTTTGTCTAATTAAAATGTACTAACTTGCTTTACTTCTGAATCAACTTCCCTTTTCTGCTGAAGCAACTTAGGCCAAAGTTCAAAAGGTCATCCATACCTTCATCGTCGATCCACTTGAGCGTTATCGGCATCTCTCTGCGGACACCACACATCTTTCTCACCTCCTCACACACCTCTATGTACGTCATGGCCAAATCCAAGTCAGAGATCAGCATGTCCCTACAAAAAAACAAAGGCATCTGAGAACAGTAAAATTCTCTTGTTTAATAACAAGCTTTATTTGGTTAAATGTAAACGATACAAGACAAGTTATTTCACACTTTAATAGACGCAACCTAAAGTTAGACTTCTGCATTTAAACGCTAGCTGTTGTATAACATTATGCTAGGAATCGGTCACGACGGCTAACTAGTCAACAACTTGTCCAAAATGACTGATCAATTAGTGAAGTCAACTACTTTTAGATAGTCATACAAAAGTGTTTTTTACGTTTTATTCGGTTTTTAGGTTTTAAATATATTTTTAGTGGCTTTAACTTTAATAAGCATCCCTGAAAAACTATAACTACAGCCAAACACAAGTACAGAAGTTAGAGAGTAAACGGGTTAGTCCCAGAATCATCTCTTATTCAGAGGAGCTCTAAATGTTCTCTGGAGCTTTAATTTGCAGCACTGGACTGAAACTGTCCATCCACAGCCAAACAAGCCACATCTGTTTGGATACAAGAGACTTTCCTTACGAACCTCTAGTACACAGCTGCCTAGTCTGGTCCCTGTCCCACTTTCACACTGCATGGGGGAAACAGCTGCCGGAGAGCCAAGTACAAGAAAACATGATTTGGTGCTGTGCTCAGAATCACTTCAGATAGAGATGGTTGTTTAAGGTACACAAGTGCAAACATATTACTAAGAAACGTTTAAATTAAGGGATGCACATTCACAATATATCAGCCATCATATCGCTACTAGCTGATATATGTTCATTTTTAATGTTAGCGTTATCATTCCAAGCGTTATCGGCCCTTGTATCCAAACAGATAAGAGAATTTGGCCGATATATTAAAGCTGAGACACTTCAGATAGGTACTATTCACCATTATGTTTTTGAATTGCTTTAAATGTGTTTGGAATCATTTCGAAAAGGGAAATACAGTTAAGTGCAACATATGCAGCGCAAGTCTGTCATATAAGCTACTTAAAATCATAATGAAAACACTACTGTAAAAAATTTTGTGAATTCTTTGTGTTTTAGTTGTTTAGACTTTTGTTTTTGCAATTAGTCTCTCTAAATATATTTTAAAAATTTGGATTAAGATTGATCGGTTGTCGGTATCTGCCGAAATTTTCAATTTAAATCACATTTAAATCATTCCTGACCTCAAATATAAATATTCTTTCTTGGGAATCAGGACTAGTGTGTGTATCCCTGTATCTTTTTTTTACGGGCTTAATGGCTGTTTTCATAAGTAATTCTAAATACTCAATCCTAGAATCACTTTAATACTATGGTATATATGAAATTATCATCATGGTACTTCTGACACAGCATGGGACTATATATCGTGCATAGCTAATAAATATTTTCTCAGTAACATTGTATGATAACTTTCATTCATAACATTAACAAACATTACAGCAGAATAAACTAGAGTTGAGTTGACCTCTGTTAACAGGCTTTACCATGCCCTTGATTCACATGATTAAAAAAAAAGATTTTTTTCAAGCATACAAATATTTTAAAGCATAAATTGAAAAATAAAGTTCATAATAATAAGTTATAGAAATTATATATTAAATCTAATTCATCTTATATATATATATTATTAAATCTTATTATTAAATCTAATTATTAAATCTTATATATATATTATTATATATTAATAATAATATAATATTAAATCTAATTATCTTACCTGCTTAAATTATATTCTTCATTACAATTAGTATTTTTTAGATCCTTAGTTAATGCTGAAATATTACTGCCACAACACATTTTTACCATTAAACATCATTTATTATCTACAATTATTATAAATTATATTTATTTATGTAATCATACATTCTTTAGCAACCTTTTTTTATTAAAAGCTAAAGAAAAAAATACCCACATTTAGAAAAATGAAATATAAAAGTGTAATTATAATACAACCCCTAAATATTTAAAATATTGCACACTTAAATTACATTCTTTATCATTATTCGTAATCCTTAGCAAATGTTAAATGTGAAAACAAACATTTTATCATAAATTCAAAAAATTATCACATGCATCATTCATTATTTTGAGTCATTTTTATTTGTCTAATCATATAAAGAGCTTGGCTAAAATTATAATGCATCTTTTGACCTTTAAAACATTTAAACATGTTGAAAATAAAGACCATTTACAATTTTTGTAAGAAATGTATATGTTTTACAAATCAGTCAGACCTCCCACAGTTCCTTTGTGGATGGAAAATGTGATGTATGACAATATACTGTGTGTGTGTGTGTGTGTGTGTGTGTTTCTGCTGAGATGAGCTCTATAGCAGCTTGCCCCTCAGCAGGGAAATCATCATGAGTCTATCATCTGCCTCTCTGCCCTTATGCCACCATCCGTCCCCGACCATGCTCAGCCCCCGTTCGACCGGCCCGCACTGAAGCTTGGGGTGAAAGGATCTCCTACTGCACGACTCTCTAAGGCCTGATCAACTGATAAACGTCAGGAGTCCCTCGAGCAGCTGCCGTTTGGATGGCGCTTCGCTCGGCACTGACGCAACTGAAGAGGCTGGCAGGGAAATTTAATTCCAGAGCGAGCCATGTGAAACATTTCTGATTAACACTAATAAGTGCTAACCATCCCAGAGGATGCCAACAGTTAAATAAAGTCATTTCAGAGGTGATAATTTCTAACTCCATATTAAAACAGAGAATGGTGGTTCTGAAATAGAGTCATAAGAAAATCATAAAAGTGGCAATAATGTTATTTGCACTGAATAGAAGAACAACAGAGGTGATAAATAAGGAGTTTTTGGTTCAATCTGAACTCTTGATTTGTGAATGATCACACATGCATTTGGCAATTTGCTCTGGCACAGCATAATGACTATCAAACTGGGCGCGGGACAGGCGGAAGTACCGCTGACAGCGGCCGACATCCAGGCGCAGCTCCTGGAGCGAGCAAATGGTGAAACTAGCCAAACGGTTCGCCTCCGAGGGACCTGGTGGACACAAATACGGTGACGATTATCCCCAAGCCCCTGTTGCAAATACAGAGCGGTGACTCTTTCAATGAATGCTCGATCAACATAAAAAAAACGGCCGCCGACGGGTTCACTTCAGACTTTTGTTTTTACACGCATCAATTTTACTCTTGACGCGCGAATGGATTCAAAGTGTTCAAGGGTATAACTAGTCGGCGCAAATTTGATGCGCTATTCACGTTCGGTGTGAACGCACAGTAGGAAAACACGGCAGAGATTCATCAACACAGCAGACACACCTCTCTTGAAAATTAGCAGTGCTATTTTTAATTAGGGATTTATATACAAAAAAAAATGTTTAAACAGATTTTAGTAGCTTATTAGTCAGCAGCTAAACCTCTTTTTATGATTCGTAATCGGATAGTGTGAATTAGTGCACTACAGACTGAGTTTTGTGAAAATTATCTGATAACCATTTAACAAGGAAAAAAAAAGTAAAAAAAAAAAACACAAACAAACAGTATGTCATTATATTGGTGTTTTGGATAGGAATGGACAATGGTCGCAAAGTTGGTTGTTGGATGACAAGTTGACCCATCCCAAAATCAAAACACCATCCAAAATGTTAAAGAAAGAAACACTTCTGTCAAGAGGTATCTGTCTAACTTAAATATAAAGATAAATGTTGTACAACAAATCCAGTGCTTATAACCCCTAAATGCCTTAGACATACACTACCATTCAAATTAAAAGGTAATAAAAGTATATGTTAGCTATTTGGATGCATTAAATTGCTCAAAAGTAGCAGTAAAGACATAATGTTACACAAGTCTACTATATCCAATAAAAGCTTTTCTATTCCTCAAAGAATCCTGAAAAAAAATAATGCATCACTGTTTTCACAAAATATTAAAATGTTTTCCACATTAAAATTAAGAAAAATGTTATTAAGCAGTAATTCAGCATGTTACAATGATTTCTGAAGGATCATGTGACACTAAAGACTGCGTAAGGACGCTGAAAACTTAGCTTTGACATCACAGGAATCAGTCATCCAGACTTTGCTAGTAAGTTCTAGAATATTCCAAACCAAACAGAGGATCCAGAACTGTGGTGAATTCTGAAACTCTCTTTTAGAATTAAATCTTTGGCTCCATGATAATAGCCAGTGTGGCCTGCTGTTTTTTGTTGTAAAGAAGAAACAATCCTCAAACCCTTGGATGAGCAGTCCAGCTGAGTGCAGTAACAGCTGTACCTCATATGCACAGACTGAATCATCAAGAACACACCCTGCTTGTTGAATTTCCAAACTGAACTATAAAACTGACCTGAAATGGTGCAAATAGCCAATGAGGAAACCCGCACAAGAGATGAAGCTCAGTGAATTTTAACAACGTCTTGTCTCTACTGGAGAATAACGTCATCAGGTTCAGTCCTGAATATAAATTCAAATTCCCACCAAGTAGATTTGATTGATGGGAAAAGGTTTAAGGATGCCAAGTCTGTGTTATGATCATATCACTGTGTTCTATACTTAGCATTAAAACTTAAGAATTTAAGTGGAATGTTTTGTTCTCAAATTCAGACATTTCTGAGGTGCATTCAGACGTCTCACATAATTGCTTTTTTTAATTTAACAAAAAAACAATGTCATTGGTAACATGATGAGAATTTTGATTACATTATAATGGTCCTTAAAGTTTCACTTTAATACACATATGATGTCATAGTGATAATAGTGATTTATGGGTGGTGCGCATTATCTACAGTTCTGTCTGTGTGGTTGCTGTAGCAAATCAAATCTCTCTGAAACTCATGAGTCCTGGACTAAAGTCCAGCACTGGAAATGGAAATGAGAAATACCTGCCAAGTTAAACTCTCTGCTGGCAGCGCAGACTGCCAATGGTTGAGTGAAGTTAAACTCAAGTGTGTTTACACACTCCTTTTTTGTTGTTGTTCAAAAGTTAACAGGTTAATGTTATTCAATGTATTGCCAAGTGATGAAGGTTTGTTTATGGTCAATGACAAGCTGTGCATTAAAAACATGCGCTTGTCAGCCCAAAAAGGCTAAAAACAGCCTTTGCGATTTCAAAATCGTGATAAGCCAAATCGGTATCGGTTTAATTGGTTTAAGTGCGATTACATGGAAATTGAAATTAATCATGCAGCCCTATTTTCCGTTAGAACGGTGTCGTGTTAGCGGCCCCTAAGTTAATAACTAATGATCGTTGCGAAGGAAGTGAATCAATCAAAACTAACTTTAGCTAGACAATAACTTTATTCTAGAGCTGCTGTAAAGCCAAAACAATCTGTTACTTTAATTTCCTATTATCACTGTAAAGCTGCTTTGAAACAATCTATATTGTTAAAAGCACTATAAAATTAATGTGACTTGACTTTAGTCATGAGAGAAAAAAGCTTGTTAACGATTATTCGCCTTAGTTTTCATTAACAAAATTAACACTCCATTAGTTTATGTGGGATGACATCAAGTGCTTTAGCATCAACAACGTTTTTTAGCCACTGAGACCAGCCCCCAACACTTCACCCACAAACCCCTCCCTTAAACATATCGGCATACAAAATTATTGACAAGCAGAAAGCATTTCTGATTGGCTAAAAAAAAAAGATCAGGCCCTTCCCCTGGCACATTTTAGCTGTTTGCATAGCCTATAGGGCTGTCGCTGAGACTCAAAGCATAATGGAATATCAGTATCAGTCAAGTTATAGAGACATGGCAAAACAGCATTCACTTTTTACCAGCATGACAAACAGCTTCTGTCCATTACAAATGTACAAAGCTAAAACGTGACACTTCAGGTGACTCACAGGCAATTTCCCCATAGAGATGTGCTATTTAAAACCGTGTAATCTCTTTCTTGATTGCTCAACAATGAAATGTTTTGGACTGAAACCGAGAGGTCTGTGCTTGAATAAACAGTGCCTGGAATCTGTTGAAAAAGTGTCATTATTGAGGCTTATAACTTGTTGCTAGGCAACTGCCTGGCTAAGGTTGTCAGCCAGTCACCAAGATTTCTGTCCCGCCGAGTATAGTTCTAACTTCTTCCAAAATATTTTTAGATGGGAATCACCAAGGCTTTCAAAATGCACTAAAAAGGCTGACCCAAATTTGGAGAGCTCTTTTACACACTCGTGTAAGAGAGAATTCACACTTGCACAGACAGTGAGGAACTATTCACTCTTCACTTCCTATACAGAGTTCACTGGCACGCCATCAGGTAATTGTGCTCTTGATTCAAAGGTCTTTCTCCACCCACTAAGCTAGCTGGACATAAAGTTGCATAAATATGTAAAGCATGCAGTTCCACAATGATTTGTGGTGCATTATCTCATGCTTTGCTATATGGAATGCAAAACAACCACCCAAGCGATGAATATTAATATAAAAAGCGAAGAATCCATGTTCCTCATTATTTGAAACTAACTGAATAAGTGAAGTTAAATATAAAATTTGAAACAAAAGAGAAAAATATAATCAAAGCCGATTTATTTTTTTTACCCCATAAAACAGCATGGACTTACAACATGAAAAAGGCTGAATTTACATACATTTATTCATTTAGCTGATGCTTTTATCCAAAGCGACTTACAATTGCTAGTATATAGGTCAGAGGTATAGGTAAGATTTATTTACAACACTGTTCCAGAACAGTACAACCAAATGTTTGTGTGTGTGCAGAGCACGGAGAACAGTTTCCTGAACCTGGGAGAGTACAAGGTTATAACATCGTATCTCTGACTGAAAGTTAAGAGATTTTTTAAATTAAAAACTTGCCACTGTGAAACGTTCTGCTGAAGTCACGCTTGCAAAGTTGGTTCCGATCGATCGGCATTTTCAAAATCAGACTCTGGCTCAGACTGATATGGAAAAATTGACGAGTACGACATTATTAACGGGTCACTCCACCTCTGAAAGATGAATGTGTATTTAATTTATGTAGAAGAAATGTGAAATTATTTTTGTATTTGGAGCTTTCTAGACTGAGAAAAGCCAGAAAATGTATTTTTGGCTTATGTGGATGAAAGACAACAACTCCCAGAATGCACTTGCCTCCCTGCCCTAGGAGGCCACGCGGAGCGGAGCGGAGTCGTTAAACAAGAAGGTGGCGTGATTACCAATGAGCGACACCTGTGAGACGTAAGTTACCGGTCTCGTATTTCTCACAGAGGAGCGGAAATTGTCTTATCAATGTTAAAACGCACATCAACCGATCACTTTTTTAGCGTTCATGTAAACACTACATTCAGATTCACCAATCAGAATGAATTCAGCTATATTGAAACAAAAGCTGTACATGTAAACAGTGAATGGCGACTGCAGAAAGCAAAAGCTGAATCCCGGACATCGACGACCGGACATGTCAGGGAAAAAGAGGACGGTAACCCCTAAAGTTACTACTCGGCTTTCTCCACAGAACAAGAGCCAGCTAGCTTAGCTTCCAAAAAAGATGGCTGACACTATGTGTAATCCCAATCCTCCATAATGCATCCGTCTGCGTATTCAGTACCTACGTCCATATTTTCAAAAAGTTTCTGCCGGTGAAATCAGACGCACTGGCACTGATCTGTCATAGGTCTGTTAGCGCATTAGGTCCAACCCCCTATGAATCTAGTGCTTGAAGTCTTTACAGAAGCCCCCCCCCCCCCCCTTACACTTCCTCCTACAATGACGTAAAATGACGATTTTTGCGTCATTCATTGTAGGAGGAAGTGAAAAAGGTAAATAGCAGATTTCTCTCGTCTCAGGGGAAATTGAGAGAGTGTTGCGCGACCATTCAATAGTATTACTGGGTTTCTAACAATGGAAAGCTTAATGCAAATGGGTGGAGTGTCCCTTTAACTGTCTTTACAATTGCTTTGGAAGCTGAAGCTCGCGATTATGGTAAGGGGCTTTACATTTCCGACAAATGCTTGAGGTCTTGGCCAATCACAACACACTGGGTCAGCTGGCCAATCAGAGCACATAGCGCTTTTCAGAAGGAGGGGTTTTGTAGAAATCAGTGCATTTTAGAAAAACTGGGCAATGAGGAGAAAAAAATATCTATTTTTTTAACATTTCAGCATTTTTATTAACATGTTCTACCCAATACACAAAATAATAATATTTGTAAATAGCATCATATGACCCCTTTAAATATATAGTTTAAATTTCAATTTAGTGCAAACCATTCCTTTAAGAACAACCACCATAGACATTGATGGATTACATTTTTAGGCTTGTCTGCCTCACAATGCTTGTCAATGCCAAAATGATTGAGATGGCCAATCAAATCAAAGAAGGCAGTCCTTACTGTTCACAGAAGATGAGTGCAAATTCCAATGTAACACTTAGTAGCAAAACGTTTAATATTTGACAACTTTTTTATGACAGGAATGGTCAACGACCGACAGGCCTAATATCCAGTGACACAAACTTTTGAATTGCCATTTTGAATTAAAAATATGCTATCACTTAGCCTACATGATTCATGTAATTCATAACTTAAAGTGACGTTGGCGTTTTTCAAGATATTACACACGAATAAGAGCGAATGAGGACATATTTTAAAATATTATTCACAAATTTTGTTTAAATTTATTCCTTCATAACTACAATTATAACAATTTTATTTTTTCTTTATTCATCTAAATCTCTTTTAACCCATATTTAATTCCTTAAGACATGGTCAAGCTATATGACTACAAATTGAAAGACGAATCTAAATCATTCACATTGTTGACTAAAACCCGGGTGATATCACCCTCTGTGCACTGAAGCTGCTGAGTGATGATGTGATTAATAACAATGATTCACAATGATGTATGTAGACAGTGCGTGTTTGTGTTATCTCACTCTCTCCTGACCGCCTACATCATGGCACTTTTAGCCAAAAGCATTTCATCAAAATATAAAGCCTAGATTTTAAAGCCTGTGGAAGATAATTACAAGAAACAGTAAAACAATTCTCTATTGTTTAACGACAGAAGACACAGCGGGGGTCAGAACCAATGCAGCCAATTCAAGTCATGTCACTAATATTTTCAGTTCAAGCTAAGCTGGTGGAATAACACTGATCTGACTTCACCTCTTCAAAAGATCTCTCAAGCAACTAGCAGAATCAAAAATGTCTGATGCTGTCTGAAACTTGTCTTTTATAATACTAATCAAAATCCTAATAAAAGGTGTATGCTACAGCATACCCATACAGTAGATGTTCACAGCAACAAGTGGCAATAGGAGCATAACCTTCAGCCCACAACAATATTTCATGCTGAAAAATGCACACAGTAAGTTACTGTTTACTTTTAGCTGATCAAAAACATACCAACTTTGGTCAATAGCGTGGCATGTCTGGTGGTCATGTGATGTCAATATGGTGGCACCCATGAGATGACAACATGTTTCAAGTAAATTAAAACATTCTTAATACTTTTAATGATATTTTTCAAATATATTGTTCATTTCTTTATATGTAAAACGTTTGAATTAGCAGAACTGAGTTTACCTTTAGAAAGGAGTTTATTAATGGCAATTTGCTTTATGTATTCATTAAAGTCTGGACGTTTTCTGACATGTCTGATATAGTGTACTCTGTTGTAAACTGTCACAACTAACGTCTCCAAAATAACCAAATATACATCTGTTAAAAGTCAATCAAATGAATCTGAAGTTGAAATAAATATTAAAACATTCAATATGTCAAAGTTTTCCCAGGTGTGGGAGGGAAGTTCTGCTCACATTAATGTGCCAAAAACCGGACATATTCCGACCTTTGACGCCATTGAACAGCAGACCGACTTTAAACCATTAACCTGTGAAAGTTTACAACACTCACCCTCCGTAATGCGCCTTTATTTTCACGTATCCAGACGGCAAATCCATCACCGACCCGTTACTGACAGGCATTATAACTCCAAAAGTCTTCAAACACTCCCTTGGGACAGAAATACACAGGCTCTGTTTATTAGAAGACGATTTCAGATGTAAAGTGACATCATTCCGAATGAACTGTGTCAGTAAGTTAGTCAATCTTAACGCTTAACGTGTCACGTCAACGTTGAAATGATCCACATCGCGAGCGCGTTATTCAGCTTCTTTCCGGTACGCTGGATTTTACGGTGTCTTTGCTATGGTTACTCATAGGGGCGGAGAGACACAGAAGTATGGCTACTTCCAGGGCTGGATTGGCCTCGGAATCCACCTGTTGTTCACTTGCGCTTCCGTGGGACATTCCGTCTCGCGAGGAAATATTCCAAAGTGCACTTCATAACATCATAACAGCACGAGAGCGTGTTTCGCGCGGCGACTGCTCCATTCTTCGGTTCCGCCGTGACGTGACGTCAGCGAGGAATGTGCAGATTCCATGAACGCATTATTTGCAGGTGGATACGGGTGGATAACGGTTTGCACAGTGTGGGTCCAGTCGGTCTCGCTCTCTCTCGCTCTCTCTCTCTCTCTCTCTCGGTAGAGACTGAATGCTTATCCAATTAAACAGAAGTAGGTCGGTGAGAGAAGAAACGGTTGTGTTCAGAATGATGCACGTGAATGAGCTGAAAACTACTCCTGAACTCTCGAGAAAGAAGCATCATGCAGGCATAACAATTTGGTTATACATAGCCTAGTAGAATATGCATGGTTTGGTAAATTTTAAAGATGCACTGATTTATATATATATATATTTTTTTTAAAGCGCAAACAAGGCTAATAAACAAGGAACAAGTTTATGTAACTCATGTTTTCAGTTTAAAAGTCATTTAACGAAGTACAATCTGAAATCAAACGTCATTCACAAACATTGCATCATGACACCAAAGGTGATTTATCGTCCAACAAACTCTCTAAACTAAAGTCTTGTTTGACTCCCACCTTGAGGTTGAAATTTGTAAAGGCAACTTAAGGGAATTAAATCAGAAAGCATTGTTTTTAATAACCATATTATATTTAATAAATGTTTTATTTGAAATAAAACTTTCTGCTTTAGTTTTCTGTATCACGTGTCTTGATATCATGTGCATGGGTAACACTTTACAAAAATGTTTGATTTGTAAATATTTGTTAATAGTTAAAATTAGCTAGCAATGGAAAATAATAAATATTTATTAATCTTAGTTAATGTGAATTTCAAGCATATATTAATAAATTATTTAATCAAGAAGTTGTATGTGCTAATATTTAATGGACCTAAGCTAACATGAACTAACAATAAACAGTTGCATTTTAAACTTGACGATGATTAATAAATACTGTAACAAATGTGTTGCTTATTGTTGGTTATGGGTACCCGCGACTCTACAGAGGATAAGCGGTTTTGGATGGATGGATGGATGGATGAATTGGTAGATGGATGGATGGATAGATGATAGATGGATTGTGTTGTAATGCTAATTTTATCCACTTGGTGTCACCACGAGCTCCTTCACTTACCGTAAATGCTTCCACGTAGATTCCACCACCGGTTTATATCAAATGTATGGTCCTGATGCTCCAGCTAATACTGATATTATGGTATTATAATTGTCAACAGTTCAATGAAAACGGAAAATTAATAAAATAATACTTAAATATGAAAAGGAAATAAGAATAAATACATATGATTGAAAAATAACATGGCATAAAGAATAACATGTTGGCATAAAGAAAGTTCTAATCACTCCGAAATTAAAGTGGTGGATACAAAAAATTGCTGTATTGTAGGGCTCATAACAGGGTTTTGTTTATATTTATGGTGTCATTAAATGGTGTCTCTAATTGTGTTATTTTCCACCTCTAAAGTTTAGAGGTGGAGACACCATTTAAATAATAAACCTAAATTTGTTTTAAGCCCGAGACAAATCAGCGTGTTTTTTATGCACAGACCTTGCGCAACGTCGTAGAACAGAAAAAAAACACAAAAAAAAAAAACATATACAGTACAGTAGTCTGCTGCACACTCACTGATGGGACGTCTGAATCGTTTGCACAAATCTGTTCATATAAACGGTTCATTTAAAAGAATCTGTTAAAAAGACGATTCAGTGTGCGTCCAACATTACGTCATCACGTAACGGCTGTTTAATGTTATTTAATGTCGTTTGTTTCAGATTTGCCATTATTTCACTTAGCGCTACTAGAATTATTCATTTAGAAACTAATTTCTATTTTTCTGTAACATTCATTACATTTACATATCTGGTATGGGGAAAAACGTTTTTAATATTAAATTAAGTTACAGATGTTTCGTGTGTGTATATTGGTGGAAAGTAATATATAATCAGATAATGTATAATATGGGATATAATCAAAAGTAATCTTTCCGCGCCATCCTCGCTTCACTGCAAATGCTCTTCTGAGTCGTTTTATTCTGTTGATTCAGTCTGTTCGGAAAGGTTTGTTCAAAAGATTCGACTCACCAAAGCAATTAATTCACAAATCGGACGGCGCCAGTTTACTCTGCATTATGATTATGACGCTGTTCGTGGGGAGACCGAACGCGCGGAGAACACCAACTCACTGAACACAGATTTAAGCGGATATGCCTTGTAAATACATCAGTGTTTCTTTAGTGTCTCGTTCTACAAATAACTATTTTTACTTTAGGCAGCTTTAGCATATTAGCCGCCCAGTCCTACAGGTAGCTTCTGTCTGACTCTGAATTGTGTGCCATTTGCTTTCATCGAGTATTATGTTTTGAAGCCTGGGTTATGTTGGATAATGTATCTGTATCAATCGTATGGTGGTGAACAGAAACAGTTTAGGCATTCAGAGGTGCTAGTTAGCCAGCTAGCTAAGTAGACTGAAGTGCTATGCATCAACTTGCTCCTCCTGGTCCCCCTCACACCGGAACCGTCAGCGTTTGGGTTGCGGACACTGACAGGGATATTTAGTTAGTTTGTAAATGAACCCTGTTACTTGCGTTACATGAGAAATCTAAAATGTCGAGGATTCTCCTGGGCCTGATAATGCTTGGTTAGTAAAATATAATATTTTGGTTTTTAAATAAATTATTACAGGAGACCAGAACTTTGGCAGCAGCTACAAACGTTTTGATTTATGCATACATAATTTAAAAACGAATATGTCAATAATTATATCATACCTTTTTTGTTATTTATCAGGATGCAATGTTGCTGTTGAAGATGTCCATGCCTTTGGTAAGTTATTGGCTTATAATGTTGTCTACAGAAGGGATTTTCATCCCTATATAAATGCAGATATATATTTTTATGAGACTCATTTAGATTGTGTGTGAGAGAGGAAAGTTATTAGCTATTTTGTCTTTGCATTGCTTTGTACAAAAGCTGAAATACTTTATGAAAATGACACCTGTTGTAACATATTTGTTTTAGTTATTCATACCGACTTTTCTATCCAACTTTCTGATATTTGAAAATCATTTTCAATTTAATTAATATTTAGATGTATTTTTTATATTTAGTTTTCTAAAATTATATTTGAATGCCAGTTTGAAAGTCCTATTCTAAGCAATCTTAAAATAAGGATTAGATTCATTTACATTCATACTATATTAGTATAGTATTAGTTCAATATTTCTATTTAGCTTTCATTATAATTGTATTATTTCAACTTAAATGTATTAAATTCATTTAGATTTTTTTTTCTTCAGTTTTTCATCTAACATTTGTATTTTAAAAATTCTTTTTCAGTTACCAGAAGCGGTTAATAATGGTTTTTGTTTCAGTTAACAATAACAACACCGGTTCATTCTCATTGTTTCCACAGACGACCCGATCACCAGACTTGCGAATGACAAACCGGGTGAACGATGTTCGGGGAGAGTGGAGGTGCGTCATGGGCATCAGTGGGGCACCGTGTGCCAGCGCGGCTGGGATCTGGAGGATGCTGCAGTGGTTTGCAGAGAGCTCAACTGCGGCTTCGCGTTGGACATCCCGAGCGGCGCTCGGTTTGGACGGGCCGGCGGAGAGGTGCTGTGGAGGAATGTGAAATGCTCTGGTGACGAGTTTGCCCTGGATCTCTGTGAACGTACCCTCAATGGTGACGTGTGCATGCACAGTGAGGATGCTGGAGTTGTGTGTACAGGTACAAGATGGTTAGGTAGATTTATTTTATTAACCCTGCGTTTGTTCGTGTTTGTTCACACTTCTTTCTCAATCTTTCTCTGTCTAGGAAAACTTCTTGTACCAACCTTGTCAATTCAGTCACGCTTCTATGCTTATTCGACTGGAGAGGCTGTTCACTTTAAATGCACTGCCCCGTACAGTCAGTCCGTCATTGACTTCCATCTGTTCAAAAGAGGTGTGGACACACCACTAGTGACCCAGCGAGCCGATCCCAGACAAATTACGGTGGATCTGACCCTGTCAGACCTGGAAAACTCCCACCAGGGCAGCTATAGCTGTCTGTACAGGATACACCACAAACTGGGAACCTCTCCCTCAGGGAATTCTCCACACAGCAACTTCATCAACATCACAGTCTGTAAGTGGCATCTGCTGCTAACGTTATATTGACCGCTAAAAAGTCTCAGACTAACTTTTATTTTCTCTTTGCAGTGGAGATTCACACTCCCCAAATCTGGTACAACACATCTCCTGAGGCCCGGCCAGGTTGGGTCACCCGAGGCCACAGTTTCAATGTCACCTGTTCCATTCAGCATCAGTATCCTGGAGGCTCTTTTCAGCTGCGGCTCATCAGGCCCAACGGGACCGTCCGGCACTCTCTGCCAGCCCTCACGCCCTCTGTCACCTTCAACTTCTCCAACGCCCAGTCCAATAACGAGGGCTACTACTGCTGCCTCTACAAGGTCCAGACTGGAGAGCGCACTTTTATCTCGAGGGAGAGTCAGCCTTTACCCATCTCTATTCGAGGTGAGCTGTGTGGTTCCAGCCTAGTGGACTTGGGATCTGTTCAGAATCAGCACCAAGGGTCATTCATTTTCTAAATGCATGCTGTTTCACTTAAATCATTTTGTCTGCTTAAACTCTAAAAGATTGCAAAAATGCGCATCACACATTCGAAAGTTTTTGTTGTACTGTTCTGGAACAGAGTTGTAATTATGTCCTCTTTTGGAAGGCCAAACAAAGTAGTTTGGCTTTCGCAATGAAAAACAGTGTCTTCATGACATGGCAGTGGCGGTGGCAACAATAATGCAGCGAGAATAAAAGTTACGCCTTCTTTCTTTGCTTATACATTTGGCCGGTGTTATGAAACTCTGCCCTGACACACTGACGTAGATTTGTGGGGGCGTGCCGTGTTTAAATGAAGCGTTTTAGGAAGGGATGGCTGAGCCTTTTTAGGTTTGACACTTTGAGCTTTCTAACTCTGCAGATCTTATATTTGCACTAACAGCTACACAACACACTAAAGAAAAAGTAAAACAAGAAATCACATCAAATGACCCCTTTAAACTAGACTCAAGTCCTTGTCCTGCATTTTGTATTTTCGATAATCAGTTACACTCAGATGTACGTCACAATACATTTCATTGTGACTTTGAAGACATTTATGCATCTCATCTTAAATTGGTTTGCTGTTCTATTAAAATCTCAGAAGTTGATCCGGTAATGAGCCCGGTGGTCATCAGTTTGCTGGTATCCGGTCTGACGTTTGTGGTGGCAACGTGTGCCATTCTGATTGTTGCCAAAGTCTACTGCAAGAGAGTGAGGAAACCCACTGAACTGGAGCGAGAGAGCAGGACCTGTGAGTAACTGAGATTTCAAAGAATATTCAATAATTTGTGTTTCTTTTACTGAGTTTTTTTTTTTTTTTTTTACAGGTGTTGACAACACATACATTGCCTTGACAATCAAGTAGCAGGAGTTCAAAATGAAGGTAATGTGAGTTGTTTGTTTTGTTTTTTGTGAAAAAGGTTTTGTCCTAATGAGGCACAACACAAGGTGATGAATGATACATCTGAAAGTTTTTGTGCCAAAAAGCCAACAAGTGCTAAGAACACCAGCCACATGTCACATCACATAAGGATATGTTAATTAGGGGCTTTTTATAATTCCTAGAAATAATGGCGGAAGAACACACTCTTTGGTGTGTTCAGGAACTGGGAATGAATTTAGTTACAACTTCAGAGTAGGGTCTAACCCAGCACAATAGGAACTACCAGTGATGTAAGTGTATGTTGATTGGTCGAACACTTTCAGAAAATAGACTCACGGTCATTTGCGTCAGATAGACGCAAGTGCCATTATGTGCTATTTATATTTATGTATATATGAAGAGTTCAGATGCAAAGCCTCTAAATGCCATTTGAAATTTTCTTCTTTAATGATGATTTTTATCAAACTTGTATATTTAAGTTCAGTGATTTCACTTAACTTAAATAAACAAGCTTGATAAAAATTATCATTCTAGAAGAAAATTTCAAATGGCACTTGGAGGCTTTTACATCTGAACTCTTCATATATATAAACAGCACATAACTGCATATATGTATAATATGAACACAATCCAGAGGGAGGGGGGAGCATTCGAACCTGGGTTTGGACTTTAGACCAGGCAATCAAACTAAGTGGGGGGGGAACTAGTTTTGAGAAAGAAAAAGAAGGGATGCAGCTTTTGTGTGCTGATTTTTGTGTCTTTTTGTTGTTTCAGCAACTAGAGGCTTCTCTAAATGGGTTACTTGGTCCATCTAAGGTTGGCGTATCAGTGGCATGTCCAGACCAAAGGGAAGATCTAAGTTTCAAGAACCACAGAAACCACCATTTCTTACTATCTGCCATTCTCTGTTAATTACAGAGAAACACATTTCGATTGTATTTAGTTGGAGGTTTTTTCTTTCGATGTTATTGTAGACATTTTTATAAGTAAATGCTGAGATCACTAGACTTGAAGAGGTGAAATTACAACACAAGCTGTTGCACTAACAAGGTTAAAAGGGCTTTTTAGTTTTTAGAGGTACCATGTCTGACCCGTCCTGAGGTCTTCCCATATTGCAGGTAAAGACTGTAAAACTGTGAAATGTTTTGGGGAATTTTTTTTTTCTTCTTTGTATTCTCTGAGGGGCTTTATAATTTAAAACAATGTATTTATTGCTTTTTCTACTACAATTGTTTTTAAAGATCATGTGTGTATAATGTTTGGTTAATCACAGGTGGGAACGGACAGACAGCCCTAAGACCAACCTCTATCGCATCGCATTAGGTCACTACATTTGCCTGGTTTGTTCATGTTCTCATTGAAATGAAAGTGAACGTACTGAACTCATTATTCACTAGATCTGATGTAACGCTTGAGCAAACAAAAGAACAAATCCTCATTTTATTCTAATGTAGTACAGAATAATATAATGTCTGTATTTACAAATATTATGGAACAATAATTAATAATAGTAATGGAATATAGGCATACGGTGAACATTTTAAGCAGCACTAATGTTGAGTAAAGCTAAGAAAACAGTTGCAAACACTACAGTAGAATTGAATATACACTCCATTTGCAACAAGGGAAAAAAATGTGAGGTTCTTAATGTCATCGGTAGAGGCTGACAGATTTGAAATGAACAACTTTAGTTTAAAACACTTGTTTTGTACTCTAAAAAAACAATAGTATAGTAAAGTGTGACAAAACAATACGGTCACTTCCTGTTATATTCATGTATTGCAGTATAGAGAACTAATGGTTGTTCTTTTATTGTAGATTTTGGTACATGTAATACAATTTTTACTTTTATTTTGCCATTAAAAACAAAAATCACAATTTTGACATGCTTGTGTTTTTACTGTAAACAAACAAGTTAAATAATGAACATTTTTATATGTATATAAAATGTACCTTTTAATAAAACCAGTTGTTTTTAAATAACATCAGAAAGCATTGATTCTGACACTCATGTTATGTGGCTCCAGGGTATTCAAATACATATAAATCAAGGGTCTGTCCCAAATACTGATACTTCCAGACATATTGCATGGAAAAATACACAAACACTAAATCTAGTAACTAATCTATAAAATGTTTAAGTAATTATACAAAAAGGCTTTCTAGTAGCACTCGAGTAGTAATATACCAAAAATTAAAAGCCCAAGAAATGACTAAAAATACAGTTATGTAAAATGGACTGTTATTGCATCTTAACCCAGTAATAAAAAAAAAATTCAAAAAGAACATAATTCTTGAACAGGTGCATCCTGTAACACCCACTTCCTTTATATTCTCAAAAGAGAAGCCATGTTGGACTATTACTTTGATATATCATCACACAAAAAAAATCAACAACATGTATGAAGTTAAAAAAAACATGGAAAAAACTGAATAAAAAATTGAATTGAATATTTGCGGTTTTAAAAATCCAGTTTGATTGGATCACTAAAAGGAAAGGTTACGTCAGTCTTTTGACTGGCTCTGCTGGTTCCATATTAATAAAAACTAAGTACAGAAGACCAGAAATAATCAGAAACACTAATATCTGTAGCCAAACTGGGACCAAGTGTGTTGAACTCTTCTCTGGTGTTTTCTGGATTTGAGGCTCCAGCGACACGTTTCTCATTTGTGACGTATTGCTGTAAGAAGTTTGAGTCCTATATATAGCAGGCCTTCAAAAGGAAAAATGTATGCATTTAGAGTCATTCATAAAAATGATGTTTACCCTGACAGTGACACACTTTCAGTATAATAAAAGCCATCTTACTCATCTACGTAGTCCATCCCTCTATAATTCGACCACATTCTAAAAAATAAAAGGTTTTTGTTAGTTTCACAATTTTACCATAACTTGATTTAATCTGCTGGACATTTCAGAACGCCTTACCTGTCGCTCACATCACCATAATGTTGCTAAATAAATAAAAATGCAATAGAAATTAGAAATCAATATGTCTGAAACTAGTTTTAAAAAGTGTTGATAGTACTACTCACAGGCCTGCGATGGTGAATGTAGGTGACTTCCTCTGAAAAAGAACCAGTTAAAATCACCAGTGTGATATGACATTGTAACTATAAACATTCATGTTTTGAGTTGATTTTCTTGTAGTAAGGATTACCCTCCTCCTCCTCCCTGTAATATGTCCTATCGGATTGAGGTTGGGTTCTTCTGTGTTTAACCATGGCTTCTCTCAGCTTCTTCTCATAAAGAGCTCTGGTGGAATCTGTTGAAGACAACAAAACAGCAGGAAGACAATTAAAAGAATAGAAAATCCAGGTTTATAGATAAAGGAGTAGTTCACTTTAAAAAAAAAAAACTTTTGCTGATAATTTACTCACCCTCATGTCATCCAAGATATCCATGTCATTCTTTCTTCAGTCAAAAGGAAATTAAGGTTTTTGATGAAAACATTCCAGGATTTCTCTCCATATAATGCACTTTACTGGGCACCAAACGGCTCTCCTGTTGGAACTCATTCATCAAAATGAACAAATCTTTTTTCTAGTCATTTGGTTCATTCAACGAACGAAATGAACGAATTGACTCAGAAAAAGATTTGATCATTTTGATGAACGAGTTTGAACCTTTTTACAGTCTATGGTTCGAACAGGAGAGTCACGAACGTCCATCACAGAACAGAGCAAGGCGAGCATTTGAGCTTATAAAACTTAAACTTTGTTATTTATGTTTTAAATGACCGATCGTTTCGCTTGATTAGACCCTTATTCATCATCTGGAATCGTTAAAAGCCCTTTGAACAGATCGCACAGAAACTGTCTTTTGGACCTTGAGCCGTTTGGTTCCCACTGAAGTGCATTATATAGAGAAAATCCTGGAATGTTTTCATCAAAAACCTTCATTTCTTTTCAACTGAAGAAAGAAAGACATGGACATCTTGGATGACATAGGGGTGAGTATATCAGCAAATGTTTTTAAAAGTTAACTACTCCTTTAACTATTTTTGTTAAAAAAAAATTTCTAACTTGAAATGAAATAAATATTAGCTGAAAAATTAACATTTCAGCTAGTTGTCAAAGCAATACAAATGAATACAGAACAAAATGAGTAAAATAAAAACGAAAACCGACCGCAACAATCCCATTCCGAATAAAGAGAGTATTTTAAATCTCGTGGAGTTACACTTACCGACCACAGGACCATGTTTTATTCCATAATCATCCAGCATATATCGGATCTCGTCGTTGGATTTACTGCTCAACATTGTCATAACTTACACTGAATGACAGTAGCTGTGGTTCAATATGAAACACTTCTGTGAAACCGAAAATGAAATATGTTACAGAAAGAATAATGTTACTAACAGTGGCAACAACCCCTTATTGAGATGTCGGTTGATTTACCTTGACTGGAACAATATTTGAAACATTGTTTTGTATCTTATGCTAACATTATTATATATTTAATGTCCACGTTATTAGGTATTGAATCTATTAGTGTTGCATTAAAAGACCACTACTCATTTTACATTTGTTTAGAAAGTTAACGTTAGCGGTAGCTAACGTTACCTTAAAATGAACTAACGCGATGTTATTTTTAAGATCATACTTAAAAAAAAATAATATTAAAAAAACGACTTAATTATGTATTAAATGTCTCATTCCATATATAGCATCTGCAGTGGCTTGACTCGTGACTATTTTAGGGCAGTGACGTGAAATCTAAAGTTATGAATTGCACACTAACCTTCTTTGCAATGGTTAGACTCGCACTGAACATGTGACAAACTAATATAATAACGTTACTTAAGCACATGAAATAGACATTGTGGTTGCCGTTCAAATCACGCTGAAGAATCTGTGGTTATGTTAACGCGCCGCGGTCGCCTACAACAAAGCCAGATCCGTTAGAATTGTAAACAATGTGACGCACTTCCGCAAATCAACCAATTGTGATCACTCTCATTGGATGACAAGAATAGATGGATTGATGGATTTATTTATAAAATCCATATTATTTAGCTACCCCTAATTCCTTCAACCAGTTAAACTTTCTAAAAATGTTATCCATTCTATACAGCGAAAAAAACATTTAAACATTGCTGTCTTGTGTTAGTATGCATATAATAAAAAAAATAATAATAAAAATAGAAAAATAATTATAAAAAATAATTATAAAAAAAAAAATTAACCCCATACATTATTTAATTGTTTAATCGTTTTTTTATTTCTAATAAACATTATTATAAACACAATAATATGTTATTCTATTCTGTGTGATCTGTGGAATGTGTACTAACACTAACACAAGATGGCAGTACTGACTATGAGTCAGTACATAGCTAGGTTCATCATTCATAAGTCCATCAAGGTCAGCCAAGAACCTTGGAGTTGTGATTGATGATCAGTTAAACGTCACAGACCACATTGCTAGAACTGCCTGATTCACACCCTCCTGAATCAGGCCCTTCCTATCAGAGCATGCTAAACAACTCCTTGTCCAAGCACTTGTTCTATCCAGACTGGACAATTGTAATACTTTCCTGGCTGGCAGGTCATCCAGCATGCACTATAAAACCTCTGCAATTGATCCAAAAATGCTGCAGCAAGAGGGGTCTTTAACGAGCCGAAGAGACGCATGTCACTCCTCTCCTCACAAAACTGCACTGGTTGCCAGTTGCCGCTCACATCAAATTCAAGGCACTGGCTTTTGCCAACAGAACAACCACTGGCTCTGGTCTATTTCAGACTTAAGAGCCATCCAGAAATTTCCCTTACTGACATTGGTAGGTCACATTTGATAATGTTATTTATTCAAAATAAGTATACCTACTTGCGATTTCAGCCTTATTGTGGGTATGAGGTTAAATGACAAACTGGTATTATTACTGGCAATGTTTTGTTACAGCATTATACAACATGCTTAGAAAAATGTTTAGTTTCACAAAATGTATTAATCTAAGTAACAACATAGAAAACTCACCCACCTTCAACACATCCCTCTCCAATCAGAGACGTTTGTAAACTCGGCAGGTTTTTTTTTTTTTTTTTTTAAATGAGAATGTAACACACAAGGGTCCAAACCAAGTTGAAATGTCACTCACACCATATTTTATTCAGGCCTCCTGATCCAAGGTCATCCGTAATCACGGTGTTTCCTCGGGTGACTGATTACAGGAGCAGCCAGCAGAGCTGAATCACAGACCAGCCTCGTTTACTGACTCCATGCGTCCTTTAAAGCCCTTCAATTTCTCTTGACTTCCTGGGGGATAGTCGTTGTTGTGCAAGGCACATTCGCCGACCACTGCGAATAAACAGAACTCCTAGAGTCATATCCTATTAGACCAAAGGAGTTCCCATAAGCCTGAGCAAGAACACACTATTAGCATTCCACATTGGGCCCCAACCTCCAGCTGTAGAGGCAAAATGAACAATGTTGCAGGCAGCAAGTCAATACGCTCTCACACAACCTTTATAATGACAATTGAAGGAAGAGCACGAGGAATTGTAAAAAAAAACAAAACAAAGCTCTCTCTCTCCCACTGTAAAGGTCATGCTGTCATGGCCAGAGTTGGCTTGTTTTGGTTCAGTGTTGTGGGAAGAACATAGGGGTTTATGAAGGAATGTTTTAGCATTTGTGCCAGAGTGCAAAGATGATGTAAAATATATGTGTGGGAAACTCCAATATAAATGATTAATGTGACAAAATTCAGATTAGATTTTATGACAATTAGAAAGTTCTTGATGTTACAGGGAGGAATACATTAGCCATTTTGCTAACAGAGAAGTAAAGGCCTCTTTGGTTCTTTGAAGCAAAAGTACAGATGGTTTACAAAAGAGCCACAGAACTCAAAATGTCTTTAATACAAAGCCCCTAAACTCTGGCCCCTTGGGATCCCTTCAACCCTAATCAGACACGACTACACAAGCTAAAGATCTCCAGGATTACAAGAAAGCTACAGGCAGTTGAGTCAGTTTGATCAGGGTTTGAGCTAAACTCTAGGTAAATGGATCTCGAGGGCCACCCCTGCCCTCCAGGGATATGGTGATGGAAAAAAAATATGAAATTGGGGGAAATATTATTGCTGCCTTCGGAAATAGCTCACTGCATTAAAACTTTGACTTGAGAGGGTGTTCATGTCCAATTTTTTTGAACAAAGAAACTACAATTTACGGTAATTACGATTGCACGAGAAGTCTTTAGCGTTCCGTAGAGAAACTTTACATTTGCTCGCAAAATGCTTTCCGAGAGGCAGTTAGGTTTAGGGTAGGACCTTCATGCTTCTTTGTTCTTTCTAACCTAAAATAGTACATTTTCAAACAATTCACATTGTATGAATTTAAATGAAATCACCACTTCATAGTTATTTTCCCTGTGAGATTGGGTTGGTCGTTTCAGACGCGTTCTGTGAAGGATCCGTCAAAAGATTTGTCATTCTCACAAGAGAAAAACCTGAGCACAAGGTACGGCTACCAACATACTTGGTAATTAAATCAAAGAACTTGTATTTTTTTTTTGTCATATTTATGACCTAGCATGAATGCACCACCATTCTTAGACTGTGTGAACTCACTATTTCCTCAGTTTGAAAACTGCTGCAGAATTAAAGTTTCAGTGATGCCACAGAAAAATCTTTTGACGTTCCAATGATGTCACAGATGTGTGGAGCCCCTAAAGCTGATCTTACAAACCCATATGATCATTTTAAACAAATTCATATGAATTAGCCACCAAATGTAAAATAGTCAAATAGAAATAAAGCCATGAAACAGTCTGGGAACCTCTGATTTAGAGGAAAGACTAGAACTACTGAGAACATCGCAGTATTATTAGCATAAATAAACATGTGCAGCTTAATTTAAGAGATACGCATCTTTTTTTACATGTACTGAACAAAAACTAAATCAGACGTGGATTTTGGAAAATAAACAAATTGCAAAAGGTTCTGTTTCGTGCCACCAAGAGAAGTACATTTTTAACATGCTTGACACTCTTCAAGCAGATAATTTAAACAAATTAGTGAGGCTCTATGTATACTTTAAAATGAAATTAGACCGGGCGAACTATATGGCCTGAGATATCAAACTAGTAATTGCTGGCAACAGAAACTGTGATATAATTATACTGTAACCCAGTTTTCTGAATTATGAGCCAATGTGGATTATAAAGTATACTGATCATAATGTACTGCATGTTCTGGTCACATTTTACAATCTTTGAACATTTTCATTCAGCACATCAGTTTTTTTCAACTAAAATGATCAGTCTGTTTATGTTCAACATGTGCCTTATATAAAATTGTTCTTGATGTTTCAATCCTCTAGAAAGAACAGAATAATTCACAATGTAAAATGTTTCAGTTAAAACATTCATTTGTCCTCTAAAGAACACACCGTGTCCAGCAGGTTCTGAGTCCTAAAAACAACCCAAACTTCCTCAAGAGGAGTCTGTGATGTTCTTTGCGACAGGTGCCGGTCTCCATTCAGGTTGATAGAAGTGTATGTTGAACATACGTGCCCAGTTGGCAAAGACGCGTTTCTCTGTGATGAAACGATGGTGGCTGCCATGCCGGTCCTGCTCGTGGGTGACATACATGGTGCATTCATCCGGCCCTGCAGGCTCGTAGTAGTGATACGGCACTGAGGGCTTGGGAGACCTGAGAAGACGTGCATAATTGAATCTGTCATAAACCGCCAAAATGCAATGAGTTTTGAATTAAATCATGTTCCAGCATCATGATGAATATCAAGCAGAAAGTCTCACTTGCAGAAATCAGGAGGAATCATGCCATAGACGTCGATTCTGTCACAAACCTCCAGAGCGATTGCCATGGTGAACCAACCCGTGCTCAGCCATGAATTGGACCTTTTCCTGAGTAAAAAAAAAAAAAAAGACATCTATGTAGCTATGATTATATATATATACATATATATATATAAGCTACTCAACATTTTCACTGGCCACAATTTTGACATCGATACCATGGGGAAAAACTGCAATATAGATATTTTTATTATTAACTCATAATTTGGCAGCTTTGAGACCTGATGCTTGGATCCACTATACTGTTACACATGCATTTCATTCTCAGCTGTTTATGCTCACTTATTTACATGAACAGTCACATACCAAGACTAGCATTATTGGCATTATTTTGTCTGTATTTGACTGTTTTAGCACAATAATATTTTTTATGCGCAATACGCACAATCACGGTGAAATTTAAGCCCTGAAACACCAACAATATTCAAATGATGCAAATTAAGTGAGTGAGGGAAGGCGGGTTTGTGTGTCAACTCGCTATCCGAGAGATGAGAGAGCGAGAAAGCCAGCTGGCATCTTGTATTTATTATGCAAAAAAAAGTTATCGAGCGTCCTTACACCTTCACTGGAAATACCGCCATGCATAGAGCCCATTGAAAAATGTAAATATTAAATAAAATTCAACCTGCCAAAGACGTGGCTAGTATGAGTGACTGCGTTACACACCACTGCTGAAATCCACACGCATTTGGCGGGTGTTAATGTCAAACCCTGTGTAAGGCACACACAAAAATGCAATGGATGCTGTCTTTATGGAAACAAGTTTAGTTTTTTGAGGAAAAACATCTTGAGCATCCTGTTTTAGTTTAGGAGATGGATTGAGATAAGAGTGATATTATTAGATAAAAGAGATAAAAAAAAGCCAAGAGTTTTAGAACATGTGAGTGTTTTGCCCTGAGCAGTTTGAATTGGGTACATCCCAGCTGGCAGCTGTCTCCAGCTGGCACTGATCCGTTTCTAACCCTTAATCTGCACTGATGCCAAGCCGTGTGCCCAGTGGGCCAGCGATAATAACCCTCCAGCAGGCACTGGTGGTCTGCACTTAATCGACAAACCCTACCGCGGTGAATTAGTAGTTCCACTTCCAACTTCATCTCTTTAAAAGATCAATGAGTAATGGTCAATGAGCAATGCTACAGTCAGTTATTTTACCATGTCGAAATATCTGTTTTTGTCTGTGTGATTCTGCCCACTGCCATGAATTTACCCAATATAATAGTATTCCGACTCCCAGGGTTGCCAGTTGGTGGAAAACACATCATATAGACCATTTTGCAAGATGTAAACAACACTGGTCCAGAAACACTTCCTGTTTCAGTTTGTAACTATTTTCTTTATTTCACATGTAAAGAAAACATCTTAAAGATGTTGTTTAACTTTTTGATCTGTTGGTTGTATTTTATCCCAGCTTTTGTGTAGAAAACAGGAAGTGAAACAGGAAGTGCTTCTGGACCAGTGTTGTTTACATCTTGCAAAATGGTCTAGCAAACAAACTGGGTCTGATATCACAGATTCTACCCGATTCTAAGCTTGGACATGACCAGAGGCATATTAGTCAATTAAAAAAAATTTATCCAGACTTGCTATTTTGAATTACCAAATGCAATAATAATATATTTGATCCCATATTTTGCTGTGATGTACTTCCACACAGAAATAAATTCTCATAACATAAAATATATGACAGAATTTTGTAGCAAATGGTAAAAAAATCAAGAGACATGATAACATTTAATCCACTCATATTCATTCATATTAGTCATTTACATTTAATTTGCTAATTTGGTTTCACAAATACAATAATACCCTAGTCGATTGACTATTTTGCTGAGATATACTTCCACATATAACAAAGGAATTCGAAAACAAATTGTATAGTTTCAACAGTGTTATGCAGTAAGTGGTACAAAATCAAGAGATATAACTTTTCCTGCTTTGATGGCACTAACACAAAGAAACATTTTTATCCTCACCTGTCTTTTCCTGTTTCCTTCTTAAAAAGCTCATCAAAATGCAACATCTTCAACCGTGAGATGATATACACCTGTAGTTTAGGCATCACCTGCTTCATCAGGCGCAGGTTGTTGTAGACGAGGCCTTTACCGTCTCGTCGCATGTAGTTTCCGGGCCCCCAGAAGACAAAGACGGTGTCCTGGCTGGAGGTGAGCAGCTCAAGGCGGTTTCGTAGCACACGTTGCACGCTGGAATGCGCGACCACACGCAGGCTCGTCCGCTGGCCCACGTCACTCTGGTAGCCTTTTGTCGGGGCGTCGTTCATTCGGATGACGCACTCCTTACTATCAATCTCTGCACCTCGATCACTTCCTGTCATGTGACCAGAGCTGGTCACTAAGGCACAACTTCTGCAATGCATCCTAAGAGGCTGAGGAAGGAGACAATGAGGAGAAGTTTGAGTTGTCATGAACACAATATAATATATTCAAGTTGGTTTCATATACTTTTGAAAAACTCTTTCACAAAAAGTTTGATCAATAACTAAAACATTTCAAGTGCATCTTACATCAGCATCTTGATATCCCACACATGTGAGGTGGATGGATTATCTCAGCAAAGGAGAAGTGCTCACTAACACAGATTTAGACAGATATTTACAGATTGTGTACATAGAAAAAGTCTTAGATCTTGGAGTTCAGCTCATGAAAAATGGGGGCAAAAACAAAAGTGTTGCGTTTATAATTTTGTTAAGTGTATATTTACTTTAAACAAATTTACAGATTTTTTTTTCTTCAATTTTCAAAATTCTAAGTTAAAAAGAAAAAATCAGATTTTGAGATATAAATATGTTTTCTGAATCAAGTCTTTATCTAGCTCCATTTACTAAACAATAACTGCCGTTTCATAAAAAAGGTCAAAATATTTATTTTAAATAAAAGGATCTAAAAAAAAAGTCAAGCGACAACAAAATGGCATCCTGCTTGATGGATATAGCAGACGGACTTTTATCTGGAAGACATCATTTGAAATAAATGGAATTGCAAAATTGCTTCACTGCTTATATTTTCAAAGAAATTACAATAAAAGATTTAGCCAAACTACACAGAACAACATGTCTTTTTTTTAAGACTTTCAGACTTATAGTGAACTTTTTTCTTTTTACCTCCAGACAGTTAAATTACCAAGATATTTTTTAAATATCAAAATGACTAATTTAGAAATTGAAAATATTTTATATTATTTTTAAAAGCCACTATTATGAAATGCTACAAATATGAAAGCCAAAAAATAGAAAACGATAAACCTATGGTGAGTGAATGATTTACATGCGTCTAAATGAGATCACTGGCAAATGAATGCATGGAAACACATTCAAAGGGCAGAACAGATCAAAGGGCCTGGTCCATACTTCATTGTTATAGCTACATTATTGAATCCCTCCAGTATAATAAACACTAAACCATTGAACAAACCCACGAGAAAAGATTCGGGGGAAAACATTCTGAACCTCATTTAAGAGAGAGTCTATCTAGAGCCTACAAAGTCTACTTAAAAACTACAACCGCATACAGCTCAAAACATGTTCAACATGAATCCAGATTCCATTTAATTAACCAAAAATCTGGTATTTTTAACAATATTACAGCAAATACAAACAGTATACCTAATTTCCAAACATGCTAAATATAATGCACAGCACTATGTAAAATAAGCTTAATGCATATTATAGTTGAGCTACTTACATGACCTCAAGACAAAAGGGGCGATTTCATTATGTAATGTTACAGACCTGTCACTATGTAAGATGATGCATTTGAAGTAGTACGCCCTCAAGACAGCTCTTTATCTTTGTCTGTTAGCTGTAGAGACTCTATTAGATTTCTTCTGCTGTGATAAACAGGGTCGTTTCCAAGGAGATTATAGCCCAGTGGAGAGAACACAAATCAGGCCCAGTAAATAACCATCCACACTTATTATTCCCTCATTAACATCCTAATTCTTAAGCTCTCTCCAGTGGGACATTTGATCATAATTACTCTAAAAGCAATCTCCCTCTCTCTTTCTGAGAAACTTTCGGAGGAAAAACGGTTCGATTCAGGCCGATTCGGATGATATAAAATATTCTGGACCATATCGATAAAATAGTTATTAAAGTTATACCTGATAACTGATGGCCGACTCTTTATTTACTAAGTAATCATTTGAAATACTACACGTGAATATAGGCAACACAACATTATAATGTTTAGTATAAATAATTTATATTACTTCTGAGATTTGCTATACAGATTGCAATCGAAATTTTAATAGATAAAGATGAATTATGTTTACTAACCACTTCTTTGTCTCAAAGTGACTAAACTTTCCATTCTAGATCTAACAATAAAAAAAGATCAATCTTAGTTCATTTTATGACGAACTTTCAACATGAACTAACCATCTAACAAACTTTTGACTTAATGTAACCTTGGTCAATGTAATTTTGAAAATGAACTGAACTGCTTTTAAGGATGTAGGATATTTTTGCTGATGTCACTAACAAAGGATAATGAGGGTTAAACAATGTAACCAAACATATAGTTTGGAAATAATTAGTAGTGATGATTCTTATCTTAGTGATGTGTCTGGCATTATCATATAACACATGTGTGCTACTTCTTTGAAGTTGAGATTCTCTGAGGATTGCTTGAGAACTCCCAGCTGAAATAAAGAGCATCTGAAGGATATTTACTGTAGTCTGTCTGTCATTTAAGCTGCACAGCAAGAACAAGTAAGTTAGAATTATTAGCACCCAGCCGACGTCGACAGGAGACGCGCTAGGGTATAGGGTAGGTTTAGTACTCAGCCACAAGACTTGGCCGACTAGAGTGAGTATTATTGTAGGATAGTCATGTTCAGGAAAAAATCCATCACAAGGCTAATATAGGCAGGGCATTCAGTTACTTATGAAAGGAAAAAAATAAGATGTCAGTGTATTTCATTAGACTTTAACTTTGCCAGCTATAAAAAAAAAACAACTAGCATTTCCTAACGTTTTACCACTGCTTTTTAGGGACAGTTGATATGCATGGGCCACTGGCCAATAGAGTGCCGAAGTTACGACGTCACTCTGTAGGCCAAAACGCAGAGGTGAGTTAGCAGTTAGCACTACCGGTTCCCTCGCTCCAAAATCTATGGGATTTTTTAACCCTTTAAGACCGACGGGAGCGTCGGCGCTCCGGTTTGCGTGTGTCTGTTTAACAGCCTATAGAAACTGAAACCAAGTGGCTAGCTCAATCATTCTTTTTGCATACAAAACCAGAGATGTAAAATTGTCAGATCAAGCCTCCAACATGCGCATGTTGCGTTGTTTTCACCCTCTAATGAGTCTGTACAAAATGCGCAAAATGCGTTTCTCAAAAAAATCACAAAAATGCATTGCACGTCTTTGCACACATGATCTGTAGATCTGCGATTGATAGTAACGCCTTCCGATGGCGCATTGAGGTATCACGTTCGGTGCACATGGCAGATCAAGCCTCAACATGCTCATGTTGCGCGGTTTCCACCCTCTAATGAGTCTGTAATAATGCGCGTTTCCAAAAAAACACACAAAAATGCATTGCACGTCTTTGCACACATGTGCTATAGATCCGCAATTGATAGTAGCTGCGTCTTCCGATGACGGATCCATGGACTGATCACGACATCACTTCCTGTGCACTTTGACCCCAGCTTGTGTCGCATGTAGTGACGTCAGAAGCAGCGTCTTTTGGCCATGCGTTTGACTGAATATATAATAGGTTTGACTCGCACTTGACTCCCATCTGCTATATGTTCCTTCTTATCATTATTGTCTTTTTACCATTGCTTCATTCTATCATTTCTTTCTCGTTTATACACTCGCAAATACAAGCACATTCACACACACACGCACCCCCCCCCCCACACACACACACACACACACACACACGTGTGCGCATGCGCGCAACGTTATGTCAAAATGAAAGTACACGGACGCACCGAATTCCTTCTGCTCATCGCCTTTATTTATTTATTTTATATTTATTTTATTATTAATTGTTCTGACAGGGTCTATTTAATTTATATTCTAACCAATTCAATGTTTAATCAATGTTCAAAAGCAAAATGTTATCTGTTTGACCACAAATGTAATTGAATATTTTACATATGGCATTTTACTCCCCTTTTTTAAATGAGTGTATCTTAAAAACTAAGTGATGTAAACAGTTCAAATCAATTCTGTATAGTTTTAAACTGTTTTATGCACATTTTTCTCATTGACAAGTTTGAGGTTTACATTTATCATTTTTTTGTATTGAATAAAATATGGAGATTTTTTTTCAAAAAAATTGTTTTTCTTTTTGTTTATTGCATTTTTGAGATATTTATCTAGGTACTATTGATTTATTACAAACATAGCCTTCAAGTAGAGAAAGTAAGGATTATTTTGATGTATGGCATGTGAAAATGCTCAAAAGAATGACAGCACAGCATGTAAAAATAGAAAGATATACTCTGGTGGAACTGTTCTATGGCAGGTCATAAAGGGTTAATGGGTTTTTGCTAAATCGCCTGAAATAAGGTCTGTGGCGAACAAAGCCTCTAAATATTTTCACGTTTTGATCAATGACATAGAACACACAGTTATAACCTGCTTGTGTTTTTAAAAAAACTTTATATAGGCTTGAAAATGTCTACATTTTGGATTAACTTGTAGAGATTATCTTGATAGACAAAACGTGTCACAACTCTTGGTTAAACACAGATCTTATTTTTTGCGACTTTCCAAAAGTCTATGGGGAAAATGCATAGCTTTTCAATTGAGGGAACCCATGCGCCGTCGTGCTGCACTCACTCCCCTTCCTTCTTCTCACAGCCAACCACACCCATTTAAGTTTCATTTTTCAAAAAGATTGTGATCTACACTTGAGCTGAAAGAAAGGGGTTTCATGGCACTTTAAAGCTGACTTAAGTCATTCGCTAAAATGCCAAAAGTAGGTTGACATTGGATCATAGCCATCACACCATTCAAAATGAGCTTTTCTCATCAGACAGATCCTCTGCATGTTTTCTGGCTACTCTTCAGGGTGAAATGAAATCGAAAAACCATTTCCTTCCACTGATAAATGCTTGTGATAAAGACTTGTTGGCCATGTTCATTTAGCTATGTTCTACACTGGCAATTCATTTTCACTAACACGAGCAAATCTTCCGCTTCTGACTTTTACAAAATTACTTCCACACAGTATCCATTAAAATCTGTCTCTAAATCCTGGAGCTCTTATTAGCTCGAGTTCTCTTTCGACTAATGAGAGCCTGTAGACTTGAGAGCTGTGTCTGTCAGTGAGAAGTATGACAGAGATGCCTCATGACGATGAGATCAACATGCTTTGATAAGCACAGGTCAGGGTCAAATCTAAATATGACACAGATGTCCAAAATAAAAAAAGATTTTCACTAACAACAACAACAGCTGTTTTATATTAGGATCGGATGCTTTATATTTCATCACACCCATGTACGTTCTATCATAATTTTCTAAACCACTGAGACCAGAAACTGTCTGGTTACTGATATTCTTCTAAATATCTGAAAATCGGCTGAAAGGATTCGAAAATGGTAAAACCCAAATGTTTAACTCTGGGGGAGTTATTTCCAAAAAAATGAGCCTATATCCAAAAAAAGTGGAGTATCCCTTTAACACCCACGGAGTAGGCTAAATAGCAATACAAGTTAGGACAGTGTTAAACCAAAACCTCAGTGACAAAATACAGATCAGGGAGTGAAAGAAAAGACAGAGGGAAAAAGAGAGAGAGAGGGGCAGATTTACATCCTTGATAGTTCTGGTGATTATGACGCCTTAAGATGAGGCCAAAGCTTGACAAACACCTGCTTGCAGCTTTCCATTTCATTATCTGATATGGGGTGATGGTAGAAATCATAGGATAGTGTAATTTAAAAGGCTTTAAAAGCCTGCACCTGATTTATCATGAAAAACTGCAGAGACAGAAGACCGAATGACGAAAATGACGAAAAGAAAGAAAAATGGTCAAGTCTTCTGAATATTATTGTGCACTGCATATCATAAATGTCAGTGCCAATATAATAATGCTTATCTGAATGAGGATATTATTTGACAACAAAGGAAAAATCCAACTGCATCAAAACAGTTTGATAAAAAAAAATGTAAGGATACTGCACAGTGCCATTATTCTTCACGTTTAAGTTATCGTCCAAATGTCTTTAAGTTTCCACAGCAAAATTTTAAATAAAGACAAAGACGTTTTTGCGCAAAGGTAAAGAATAGGAGACCACAGCCTGGTCTAAGACTATGGATTTAAAGAAAAATGTAAAATTTTCCAGATGTTGACATTTATTTAAAAAAAAAAATGTTGGAAATCTTCTCCATATAAAATTGAGGATATAGAAAAGAACAGACTGGGGTGACTCTATCTATAGTCATCAAATGCAACATCCAAAGGAAAAAAAATAAACTGTTAAAGCCCCAGGAAAAAGATAATATCTATGAACTAAACTATCTAACTACCAGATTAATCATTTTAGTGCTAGAATTTTACAGACCTAAAATAATTAAGTCACCTTATGATCAATGATGCTGCTGTAACCTTCTAAGTAGGATGTTTGCTGACTGAGAACGTTCATCTGATGTCCATCTGATTGAATCTGATCTTCAGGTGTTTCGGATGAACTGCTGTTGTACAGGAATAATAAGCTTGTAAGCACAGTCACAAAACCAATGAATATGATCCCATGACGCTGAAACAAGAGGGGAAAACAAAATTCATAAAGTATGCTCAGATTATCCTCCATCTATGGTTCTGCTGATATATGCATGCATCAGTAAATAAAAAGGAATATTTTGAGGCATGAATGAAATGTTGGGTGAATATCCGTATCAAATGAAAACTCTCAGTATATTCAGTGCCAAGAAGACAACTGAAATGACTAGCCAGTAGTTGTAAAATCAACCATGTAATGTAATGATGGGTATCGTTTAGGAAACAAAAAAGCTACACTGCAAGACACATAATTAAATGATAAACAACTGCCCAAAAATGTATAAAAAAAAATAAATGAATAAATTATATATATATATATATATATATATATATATATATATATATATATATATATATATATATATATATATATATATATATATAGCTATATATATACGACAGTCCATTAAAAAATGCATAAATAATAAAGAACAGGAATTTAGGGTTCAATTTTATCTTCCGAAACAACACTGTAAAAAATAAAAACATACAAACGTGCTCACCAAACATTTATTTAATCAAATGAACTATGTGGGCACTTTAACAAGTAACTTACTAACAATAATTTACTATGGCAGCCAACGTTTCCACCAAAATAGTATCAGGCAAGTCTTGCCATTGACACAACTGATGTATAAAAAAATAAACAAGACAACAATAACTGTGATAAATACGCCACTCTAACGGAAACTATGTACCATGGTAAATGTTTGTAAAGGGCAGCTAAAGTTACTGTAAATAATGTCAGAGAGAGTTTGCGCTATACCGTCCGCGTCTTCATATTGTGAAGTGTATAATTCGGTCCGTTTAGTCCAGGCGTGTTATTCAGCCTCGCCGACAGCAGCTTTACAAACCCACAGTTCTGCTCGCTCACACATGTTTTTCTTCACACTGAAGCTCGAACAGTCCAACCTCCACTGAACTCAGATCTACTCGTCTGCGTCCGTCCACACCGTGCCTACGCGTGGTCTTAAAGAACGCCGAGTCAAAATCCCTTGCAAAACATTAAAAGTTATTGACGGACCAAAATTATTAACTATTGATTAATATTTAAAATGTTTCAAATTGGATTAAAATAATTTAAAACCATTTAGGAACATTGTTTTGTTAGTTAAAAAAAAAAAAAAAAACGCCAACAATTAACGTTAATCACAACTCCCCCACTTTAAGCTGTATTGCTAAAGCAGAACTGTATTATCTCATGGATATATTGGATTTTCACTGCACTTCCGTTTTAAAAACGTCAGGAAATAAGGGCCATGGATCACAACTCCTCCACTTTAGACTAATATAGGCTATATGTATTATCTCATTAGTAGGCCGTAGGCCTAGGCTATTGAATTTTCACTGTACTTACATGTTTTTAAAAGTTTACTTAAAGCCACTTAATATAAAGTGGGACCATGTACGGTCTGTAAGGAATGATTTCTGTGATGATACTACTGTAATTCAATTTTCCATTATGTCCTTAATGAGATGGTTTGATATAGGCCTACGTTAATGATCCTCAGTACTGGGTAGATGATATCATGTAATTTGTCGTCATTTGATATTTCTGTCTGGGTCTGGCTGACACATCATGAATGATTTTTAGTGTGACTCATAAATCATAAAGAAACATGCAGCATTAAGTTCAGATGTGTATAATTTTTGTTAAAACAAAATAAAATACCATCTTACTCTTTGAAACTTTGGAGAGGACACTAAATATCAAACAGTGACACTGAAACCTTCGGTATATGAACATCAATAGGAGCATTAAAAAAACACCATATTTTTATCAACTGTTACAGACGGTAGACGCCATGTAAGGTTTTTGATGCATTTGCTTTATTTACGATTTATTACAGTGCATTAATTGATGAGAAATTCTGGGTTGCAATACATCAAACTCAAATCCAATTCCCTTCGGTCTGCAGTGAGATGTGACTTAAGAAACCATCATAATCCATCATTTTTTTTATTATAGGGGCACTGTACCTGACATGTTAAACAATGCATTTGATTTCTAAAATTGTCCCATGCCAAATGACAAATCAGAATCATTATTTTGGTAATCTAACAGTCAGCTCTCAGTCTCACATGCATTGTCACTATATGGATCTTCATCTGATGTCACAAGGTCACCAACACCATTAACTTCATGGCTTATGAGAGGTGGCGCAGGTGTCTTAATGTGAACTGATTTCAGCATATAGAAAACCGCCTATCCCAAACCGCCGGCATATGGCCTGGATGTAAAAGATACCATCTTCTCTTCTAAAAATGGCATGCGATTCTCATAGGAGCAGAGATTTGCTGGAAGCTGCCTGTAATTTCATCCGGAACTATAGGCTGAAATAGAAATACATAATTTTTTTTTATTTCATATATTTTTTTAAATCTCACATCCTTTCTCAGTCCTTCACTTTTCAGATTTATAACTGCTCTCAACCTTGTGATTAAGTAAAAATGAGACATGTTGATTTATGATATGTCTTGCTGTGATGTGCTTCAGTTTCGTTTTAGTTACTTTTTGCAAAGAATTGTGTTGAATCTGTGTTGCACATGATAAATTACTGAAGAAAAAGCCCTTAGTTATGCTACAGAATGCTAGTTTATAATCTCCATGCTTTCTCAATAATATCAATGTATAAACCAATACTTAAAATAAAAAAAAAGAATGAATACCCAACTTTTATTAAAGCAAACATTTGTGCAAGTTTTAGAGTTAGGTAAATATCCTTTATATTATTCTCTAATTTCGTGTTTTCTAAATGTTGCAGTAACAGAAAGTTCAAACATGCATTAATCCAACTTAGTCAAGTAAGGGATTGGTTATTCTTTTATAGGGATTGGCACTTTTATTCATTATTTTCTTGATCCAAGAAAAATTTCACAATGAATACTCTGGCTTGCATGTGAAAACAAATTAATCAAAAAGAAAGCCTATGATCTTCTAGGATGAAATTTGCTCATTTCCTTCATTAAGCATGGATGAAAATTAGAAAAGGGCAAAGGCATCTGATGGGTATTGATTCAGTGTTTGTTGTCATTGGAGACAAATGAGAATTAGATTTTGCTTGTCTCATTAGTATATTTGATTAAATCACTCTTTGAGGCTGAGGATGTGGGGACAGGAAGATAGTTGGTGATGCATTTGGCATAAAATTAAAGCTTATCTGAATTCAATAGTCTTACCTCTCTGATGAGGTCACAAACCGCTGCTCTTCAAGTGGATGGACGGATACATTTTCAGAATGATCACATAAAGTTATCCCTTTAATCCTGTATCCCTTTAAAATGCAGCAATTAACATTTTAATAGAACATCTAAATTAGGCCTAGATGTTATTTTGATTAGTTGTCTATTAATTGTGGGAGAATAGTGAACTTTATTTTAAACATGTTTTTATCCAAACATCAATTTATCCTTTATCCACATTATTCTGCAGCTCTAACTCTATACTATATTATACCACTATACTGTGGCCCAGAAAATGTTCAGGAATATCCATGAATATCTATGTGCAAGCTATTTTAAGATCCCCAAGCAGATGGAGCCAACCAAAACCCAACAAGTGTCTGGCCTTTTTACGTGGCACCCTGAACAGATGAACCGTCTCATTATGAGACAGTGGTGATCACACAGAGACACACTTTGTGAATGTTAATATATTCATAGCAGACAGTGAAGAAAGGCACACACCCAGAGTTTCACATGGTGAGCAATCCTAAGATTTTGTTTATCTAAGGGCACCTCCGAATAAAAAGAATGGAGCAGGTGTCTTTCCTAATGAATCCAAAGTTTTGTAGCCAAGTGTGGACAGTGTCTGGTCTCAATTTATCCAAACCATTTTATTACTGCTATGCTGATAACTGATCGCTCCAGGGGAAGGAATACCTCAAATTTCAATCAGGCTCTCAGATCAAAATGAATAGAAGATGTTCCAGCTGGATACTAAATTACTTAAGATCTATTATGAAATTAGAGCAGTCATTTTCCTAAAGGAAGTATAGTCTTCAGTAGCTCACTTTTGGTCAAGAGGGAGGAAAGGAAAAGTATATGTCTGGAAAATAATATGTAAGAGCATTACATGAACGTTATGCCATGAAAACAAAGGGGAGAAAAAACACCATAGGAAGTCACAACAAAAGCAACAAAATAAAACCATTATGACTGCTTTAAAATAATAATTATACTTTTTTAAGCAAGGACACATTACAGTAAAGATATTTATAATGCTACAGAAAAATACAGCCTATTTAAATTAAATGTTGTATATTCATCAAAGAATCCTGAAGAAAAGGTGTTTACAAAAATATTAAGTATTGATAATATTGATGATAATAAGAAATTAGCATATTAGAATGATTTCTGAAGGATCATGTGAATGAAAACTGGAGTATTGATGCTGAAAAACCACACGAAGTTACATTTTTTAAAAATATTAAAATGCAAAATAGTTATTTTAAAATGTAATAATATTCCACAATATTATAGTGATTTTACTGTATTTTTGATCAAATAAATGCAGCCTTGTTGAGACTTCTTGCAAAAGCATTAATTTAAATGGGCCTATACAATGGTTACACATATCCTAAACTTTAAAAACAACATTTCATTAAGTACAAAGTGAGTATTTGGTGAGAGTACGCTAAAAAGAGGCTAGCAAACGTCTTCATCTAAAGAGTAATCATATATATATAGCAACATTAAGGCTTTTCATATTGAACTTTACAATAAAAATAATATTAGCGTAATTATTTTAGTCTTTACAAAACAAGATATTACAAGAATACCACCACATTCACACAGACTGATACATTTTAAAAGTTGGCATATGAAACGGAAGATGCGACAGTCTGTTATTCTCTATTCTAACGTATATCAAAGTGAAATTGCTTCTCGAAGTCGAACTAGAAAAAATCTTAGTGTGGGAATTGATTGGATCGTTGGATGCTTGTGGTTTCCTATCTGTGATGTCATGTGAGTGACAGTTTGCCACTAAACGCCTCATCAGAGATAAGAAGAGATGTTGCAAGAGGAGGGGAAGTTATTTTGATTAAAGATTATGAGGGTACATGAATTTAACGAAAAAGATAATGTGCATGTTTTGCCCATTGTGTTCTTTTGTCAGTTATTCCCAAGAGCTGTATCTTCGCTATGTACAGTATCCTGTTTTGGCTTTGGCTCTTATCTGAAGCTGTGCCTGTAGTGCCAATGATATCACATGCACAATCAGTCCATTTATTCTAGCCCAACAGCATGCAATGGTTGGTGTCTATTCTTAGTTTGTTGCTCAGCAGTGTTTGCTTTCAGTGTTGGATGTTTATATTATAAATTGAAGTATAAACCTGCATCTTTAAAAGACTGGACAGAAAATTGAACACAGGATAAATAAGGATTGCTTGATTGCTTGAGACTGTTGCTTGATTCATCCAAATTTCCATTGTTTGCTCATGTTTCCATTTGAAAGAGGTTTCTGTCTTGGTCTGAGTATTTAGAGAGAAGTTGCAGGGGGCTCAAGGCACGGTTTGTAGACATTGTGCAATTAATTTAATTAATAAAATGGTTTCTTTGCATGTTGACCCTGGTGACAGGTATATAGATCTACCTATAGTTCTACCATTAGACACACACACACACACACACACACACACACACACACACACACACACACACACAAAGATTTCAATTAAATTAGAGACAATATACTTTACAGTTTCTTTGTTCCTATTGGTCCACAATACCTTAATCATTTTGTCCTGCAGACTTTCAGGATCAATTAGTTGCTGCTGCTCCCATTTGCAAGAAAATGAAAGATCATTATTGCTTATTAGACCAGTTGGAGTCTTAATGGATTTTTGATTGTCTAGTCAAAGGGTTTCTGAAAGAACGCATTGCATTTGCATGCATCTTTGGAACTCTGCACTACTAAGAATTAAAATATTCACAGTAAGAGACAAAAAAAAAGAAAAAGTTGGATTCTGTTAAGAACTGTATTTTACCAAACCTTTAATCATTAAGTATTTTCACTGCATTACTGTATGCAATGAATCAGAATTTGAACTTTCGGGTTGCCTAAACCAGGGGGTTTC